ACAGTAATTTAGTCCGCAATTAATGTCAATCAAGGTATGCCAATTATCACTGGTTTAATCACCAAGTCTTCCAATAATTATTGTTGTTTGTTTAAGATTACAAAGCAACTATCTTCAATGCCCTTCTCCAATCAGAGTTCCTCCAATGCTTTTGGCTCCAACAAATTAATAGAGGATTAGGGAGTTTTTTTTTAGCTTACTCCTTTTCTTGTTCTGTTTTAGCTTTACGCAAACTCAGAATTTCTTTGCTTTTTTAATGCCAAATTATTTTACAGTGCATTTAACCTTCCTTTATGAGCAAAAGTAAAAGAAAGGCAATTGGGTGAAAAAAAAAAAGAGTTATTATTGTTTATATGATTTGTAAAATAGTCATTATAAAAGTTAGTAAATTTATCATTCATACATGATATACCAGCTTTAAAAAATCATGGAAATTATAAATTATTTTGTATTCTTCATTTTGATTGTTTGATAATAATGACCGAAGGAAAATAAAAGTTATACATTTATAGGGTACTGCAGTGACGACAGAGAGCACAGTGAATGAAGATGCTGGACGAAAGAACAGAAAGAAAAGGTCAAAAAAGAGAATTAATATAAATGTTACATGTGAACCTGCGTGATGGACGAACATGTTACGTGGACATTATACGTGGATTATTATTATTCATCAAATATGTAAGAAAATCACCCAAAAATAGTTTAATAAAAGAAAAATAATTTTTGATACACGTGCGAGGAATGACACATATTGTAAGCATGTCTGGGATGAAGAAAGGCAGCAGCGGACACGTGTGGATATTTGCTGACTACTGACAATTTTGTGTTGACTATGCGACGTCATTGTCTCGCGACACTCACATTTGTTATGTACGTGACTACGTAAAATCTCGTGGCTTAATTGCCTAAAATTTCAATTTGGTAAATTTTATTATATAGAATTTAAAATTATATTTTTTATTTTTATTTAATATTAACTTATTAATGATAACACAATGATCTTAGGATATTTACAATCTTAAATCTTACTTATTTTTATAATTTCAATATTTTATCGGAGTTAATATCCAAATAATGATAAAATAATTAATATTCATATTACCACTATTATAAATAAAAATAATTAAAACATTTAACATGCGTATAAATAGTTATATATATATATATATATATATATATATATATATTTTTAAAATACATAATTTTAACACTTTTTAAACATGTCTACTTGTATTTGTCTGTTTAGAATAATTATTATAAAAACTTTATAAATATAAATTAATTTTAAGATAAAAAATAGAAATTATAAATTCATTTATAACTATAGTTATTATTAAAAAAATAGATCTTATATTATTAATTTAAATTCTAATTTGTGATTAATAATTAGAAAATTAATAGTTACGATTAGTGATGAGTTTAAATTCTAATTCAGAAGCTAATTTAATTATAATGATTTATAATTTAGTTAATATAGTGATTAAACATTCGTAGTCACTAGTTATTAGTCAACGTGTAATAATTTCCTTGTAGTGAAAGTTAGAAAAGACCTTATTTTAATTTAGTATTACCTCAAATTATTAAAACTATAAGATTTAAAATAGAGATATTCATATACAAAGTGATATTTATGAAATTTTAAATCCTTAACTATTTGATTGAGTTAGTTTTGTTTTTTATTGTATGGATGTACATATTTTAACATATTTATTGTTAATTAAGACTATGAAATTAGCTAAAGTTGATAATATATGCAGCATAACCACATGTTATATAAGAGTCAAAATTATGATAGCAAAGAGTATTTACACTAGAAAATTTTGAAGTTTTGTCCTTTCTTTCAATAGATATGCATGTGTATTGTTCAGCTGACACCATAAATCAGATTACTTTTGTGTCTCAAAAATCTCACCTTATAGTAGTATTGTATAATATTTCAATGAGACAAAAATATCATTTTAATACATTTTGCAAAAATAATTTAATTTACATTTTAATTTCAATACTGTTAAAATTTCAGAAAAAAAAAATCTAATGAAGATAAAAGTTATTCTCCTCACTAAGTGAAACAAAAGTAAGAGTTCACTTGTTCAAGCATAAAAAAAATAAGAAAAATATTATTCACTCAGGAACTAATCCTTTCATATTTCTAAAATACTTCAAAGTTTGCTGTTTGTATTCATATTTCTGATATTTAAAATACTCAAATGTATTATTTTACACACTTACAAAAGAAAACTTAAACTAATGCATTATAGTTAAAGGGTGTAGGGTATCACTATTTTTATTTTTATTTTCTTAAATCAATATTTAAAAACATATATATATATATATATATATATATATATATATATATACACATATATATTAAAAAATATTGTTCTGTTTTGAAATATAAATTAATCCATATTGTCAACCACATAGTTATAACAAGTGTTGAATTGAAAATCAGAAAGATGTTCCCTTTTGTTGGTTTGGGTGGAATACTTTACAGATTATAGATTATTATGATGATTAATTAACTAATTAATTAATTAATCGGATAAACAAGAGTATAATGATGTGCATTATGGCAATCATAGGAGGTGACGTGTCGTGATAATGTGTTGCTTCAACCACATTTTCCCGATGTAACCAAAAAACAAAGGCATGGACCCTCATAAAGGGACATGAACCCATTAGCCCACTAGACAAACCCATGAATCATCATCTTCAAAAACCTTTTTTAGTTTTTATATAATTTGAATACTTGCTAAGTTCTATATAGTATACAATTCTTCCGAATTATATTATTTAAATGGAAAAAAATTATTTCATCAATCTTAACATATTAAATCATATTTTTATTCTCAAATATGAGTTATTTTCCTCACAATTTTTTCGTCACCTCACTGTTTTTACATGCCATTTTCAAAACACCTCTTCAAATATTTTACTTTTTCCTATTTAATTTTTTATCTTTCTAAACAAATATTTTGACTATTAAAAATACTAAATATAATTATCTTTTTTACCTTTTTAAGCAGACTTTATAATTAAGTCTATGAAGTTTAAATGGCTATATAAACACGTGTCTAAATAATTTGTCATTGGATACAGAAAAACATAATTAATATTTATACAGAAGTAGCAAGTGCTTAATTAATATAATTAAAATAATTATTACAATCAATTTTTTCGTTTTTTTTTTTTTGAGAAAATCTTTGAAGGTACAAGAGAGATTTGGAATCAAGAAAATCGATTAATTATGTAAAATTATTGAAAGATCATACATTTTTATTAATTACTTTTTAGGGTTTTTTGTTACATGTGTGTTTATTATTTTTAATACTATTATTTAAGTATAATTAAATGCAACATTCATTAAATATAACTTATATTAATTTCCCAATATAAAAATTAATTAGAAAAGTTAAATTTTTTGAAATTAGTAAAAAATGCGAAACATAATTAATATTAAATTCACATTTTGTGTTACAGTATTTTTTAATAATAATAATAATAATAATAATAATATATTTTTATAAATTAAATTTTATTATTTTTAATTTCACACTTTCAAGAGTAGTTAAGAGTACTTCTAATATCCATATTTATCTAACATCTCATAATGTTACACATCCACCTAAAATTGGATAATTTATTGTATTTTTCACTTAATATTTCTTTTATTTTTCTTTATATCTCTATTTTATTATAATAATTTTATTTTCATTAATACTTTTTTTATTTTCTCTCTTTAAATATATCTTCATAAAGTTATCTAAAATAAAAATATTAATGAAAAAATATACTTCAAAATAATAAAAAATATATTTAAAGTTTTATTTTAAATAATAATATAATTTAGTGCATATCTAAATAATATACGTATTTCATATTTAAGTTATTTTAAAATAAGATAAATATATTAAAAACTTGAAGTTTCATATTTAAAATATATATATAAACGTGTTAGAGGTATATACGTATAAAAGAATTATATTATAAAAACATATAAATTTAAAAAAGTGTTTTGTTAAAAATAAATTATATTATCAACAAATTTCAATGACATTAATCATGAGCAATGAAGCATTGGTTCTATCATTTTTATAATAAAAAGATTATCATAAACAAAAAATCCAATGCAATTTGTCCAATGAAAGAAGGCCATGCTTGTATGAGTATGTATTTAGTAACGAAATATTTTTAGAAAAAAAAAATTTAACACTCTTTTAAAGATCCTGATAAAAGATTTTTTTAAGAATAATTTAAATCAAATATGGTAAAACCAGATTTTAAAATCATCTATACTCACAAACCATTAATATTTAATAATTTATTACATAATAAAATAAAATGTACTTTGAGGTAAAATGTTTCTACACCAACCAGAGAAACTAAGCAAGTACATAGGCAATATGGATATTCAACTTAACACATGGGTACAACTATCAATACATTCTCCTATTTCACCTCATCCACTCTTCAATGGTTTCTTCTTTTTAATCAGAAAAAGGAAAAAATAAAAATAAAAAATTTCCTCCTTGATCACCAAAAAGTCTTATCCTCTAATGTATCCCGCATTAATTTCTGGCTCTCATTTTAAAAAAATAATAAATGCAGTTCATAAATTCTTAATTTGTTTGAACAATAAATTAAAATAAATAATTTGATATTAAAATTATAATGGAAAAGGAGTGTTGAAAATGAAAAGAAAAAAAAAAAAAAGTGTTGGGAGAGAGTAATTTGTTTTCCAACAACACATCATTTTCATCTTCTTCTTCTAGAGTCTGAGCAGACTGGCCACTCACACACAGAGGTACCCCCACCCCCTCGTGCGCTCCTTCACTCTTCCATTAATACCCTCTCTCTCTCTCTCTCTCTCTCTCTCTCTCTCTCTTTATTTCTCTCTCTTCGCCCATTCAAACCATTGCTTTGCTTGCGTTTATATTCACATATCCACACCACTTTTTTTTAACAGCCTCTTTCTTTTCTTTCCTTCATCTGTTACAGCAATGGTTTCTCCCCCAACACTCCTCTTAGTCTTCGCCGCCTTCGGGGCCGCGCTCTTCCTCCACCGCGCGCTGCGACGCCGTCAGTTGCGGCTTCCGCCGGGGAGCTACGGCCTTCCGTTCATCGGCGAGACGCTGCAGCTGATATCCGCGTACAAGAGCGACAATCCGGAGCCGTTCATGGACGAGCGCGTGAGGCGCTACGGCTCGATCTTCACGACGCACGTTTTCGGTGAGCCGACGGTGTTCTCGGCGGACCCGGAGCTGAACCGGTTCATTCTGCAGAACGAAGGGAAGCTGTTGGATTGCAGTTACCCCGGTTCCATATCGAACTTGCTCGGAAAACACTCTCTTCTGCTGATGAAAGGCGCTCTCCACAAGAGAATGCACTCTCTCACCATGAGCTTTGCCAACTCCTCCATCATCAAGGATCATCTTCTTCACCACATCGACCGCCTCATCTGCCTCAACCTCGATACCTGGTCCGATCGAGTTACCCTCATGGACCAGGCAAAAAAGGTTCGGACAACATAAGTATATAAAATCATTTAAGATTTTTACATGAACAAACTTATATATTTTACGTTTTGTAAAAGTTTTTGTCACTTACGTATTTGTTTAAGTTGTTGATGTAGTAAAAGTCACTTAAGCTGTTTTAGTGTTGAGTATAGTATAGTATCTTATTATTTAGTGATTTCCTTGTTAGAATTTAAGTTCTATTTATTTTTCAAATTAAATTTTTCTTATAGGAATTATCAAGGTTTTAAATATCTGTAGTGATCACAGTTCGATTGCGTTTATTATACAGTATGGAATAGTCCAATGTTTTAAATATGGCTGTGGTGGTGGTTTCTTTTGCATGTATTGATTTTGCAGAAAAGATGTGAGCACCATAGCAGTCGTGGACATTTCAAGCATATTATTTTTGTGTAACGTTTTTATAACTTTGTGGATTATGAAGGTGAAATCTTGAATTCTGATTAGAAAAAGTGTAATAACTTTCCCAAATCATTACCGGGCAATAACATGTTACATATGTGTGTTGCTGAGTCAACTCAGGATGGATCCCGCGAGTTAGGCTAGTTGACTCACCATCATCATGTATCATATGGGGGTGAGTGAGAGAGAAGTGGTGGACCAGGACTGGCTTTCTGCACCTCAATTTCTTTGATTTTATTATCTAAACCTAGTTTTGTTTGTTTACTTGTTTAGCTGAAAGCTAATTAGCAACTTTTTTTTATGTGTCTAACTAGCACTGGAAAGTTTTAAAGCTTTCTCTCTCATGTCTCTGTTTGAGTATTTTTTTTTTCTTCTCCTTCTTTTTGTTTGGTTTTATTTAATTTTGGTTTTATTAGAGAAAGTTGTTACTAATTAATTAAGTATTAGGGGTGTGTTAGCATGTGATAGCGATGTACGTGATGGAAATGGGGGTGGTGACTCAGATTCCATGGTTCGGTACAATGTGTCCAATTTCCTTGCACATGAACCTTTGCATCACACGTTAACTTAAACAAATAGGGTTTTCTTCGGCTGCAAAGGATAATAATCACACTCTGCATATTAAACGTTTGGTCATCATCATGTAGGGTGAGCATGCACATGTATGAATATGTTTGTATATATGATATAAGACATGTGGAAAGGGAGAGTGTCGTTGCCCTTTATTAATTCCTTTTCATTTACTCGTGTTTTTTTATTCCCCAAATTGCTAACAAGGTTTGTGCAATGATGATGCGGATGATTATGGATAATTGTTTTGACAACACTACTTTTGCAGATAACGTTTGAGCTAACGGTGAAGCAGTTGATGAGCTTTGACCCTGATGAATGGACTGAGAGTTTAAGGAAAGAGTATGTTCTTGTGATTGAAGGCTTCTTCACTCTCCCTTTACCTCTCTTCTCAACCACATACCGCAGAGCCATCCAGGTGCATGCACCTAATTTCCCTCTCCTTTTTATTATTTTCAATATGTCTTCATGGGTTAATAATAATATTGCTTTAGTACTAATTATATAAATAATATGTGGAGTGAATAACGTGGCATGTAATTAGTGAATATGAATTGATGATTTTGCAGGCAAGAACAAAGGTGGCAGAGGCACTAACGTTGGTAGTGAGGCAGAGGAGAGAAGAGTATAATGAAGGGAAAGAGAAAAAGAGTGACATGCTACGGGCACTTTTGGCCTCTGGTGACCACTTTTCCGACGAGCAAATAGTGGATTTCTTGTTGGCTTTGCTCGTCGCCGGTTACGAGACCACCTCTACCATAATGACTCTTGCAGTCAAGTTCCTCACTGAGACTCCTCTGGCCTTGGCACAGATCAAGGTACGTAAGAAATCTAAGCAAGCACTATACTACTATACCTTATTTATGTATTTGTTTATATGATCATGAGAATATTCGTTGCTGTCTTTATGTTTGTGACTTATTAAAGTTTGATTCACAAAATTAGTGGTCTACCTCACAAAAACCTATCACGTACTTATCTTATTTACTTTTCTTAATTTCTAAGAAATTCTTTGTCTCTATTATAATTGCGGAATTTTGACGAGATGATTTAATTGGGGTTTTCTGGACCGTATGGTCGTGGCTGCAAGGAACCCCACCACCTTGTCTATGTCCATGACCACCACCACTCCACCGTGTGGTGTGCTTCCTTTGGAACCTCCTTTTCCTTATCTGATCCTCTATACTCAATGTCTCCACCCCAACCGGAATTGATTTTTCATTATAAAAAACACCCATTCAAAACATTAATTATGGAAAGTTGTTTTAGTTAGCAAAATGGTTTAAAAAGTTACTACCTATGTACCACAGTAGTACAGTTTTATCTTATTACATATATTAAGAACAGTAAGTAATAAAATACTCTTTTATTGAAAAGTTCATTCATTTTGAAAAAAAAATCATATAGTCAATATATTAAATATTTTGATTTTTAATAATTTTTTTATTCTTTATGATTTCTGACTTATTTAGGACAATAGTTAAGAAAACCAAATTTTGTTAAGTTGTTTATTAAAAAATGGTTTACTCTAGTAATCTAAATTTGGAAAAGTATGACTACGAAGTAGTATTTAGTGTAGGATTCCTCTTTTTGTTTTCCCTAGGACACTGTCACTCACAGGAGAAGATTTTATGTCTGGTTTTGTTGTTTTGTGCACGATAAATTAATACTTTCAATTGAATTCCAGCCTTGTAGTTAAAGCCTGTCTCCTTAAAATTTCACCGTAGTTAATACGTTTGAAAGCTTGAAACCAATCACGCTTTGTCATGACTGAGAGCAGACACAGAAAAAAGAGAGGATATGGGCAGGTTTTAGTGGTCAGGTTGAGATGGTGATCTATCTAGGTCCTTTCACCATTGACTCAATATATTCATTTCACCAATCAATTATTCTTGCTCACCGCCCGTGTCCAAGTCTCTTGTCATTTTATGATATGATCCATATCACACTATACTTGGCATAGCAACAAAATCCCAACACAAGTGCTTTCAAATAATTGGATCTTCTAAATATATATTAAAAAGACTTTGATTCTTATATATAAAAAGATATAATGTTTTATAATAAGAAAAAAAAACCTTTATATCCAGGATTTGATTTAATAGGGGAAATAAATGGTGTGAAAACGTAGTAAAAAAGTAGACAAGAAAAGAAGTCATAGGAGACATTGGTGGAACCAAGAGGCAAAATTATTACATTCAAAGCTCACGCTCGGTATTGGTCTTTTGACCTGATCGTCCGTGTGTGGTATGGAAAGACGAAAAGGCCCTTGCCACCGTGCGTCTGCTTCTGCATCATCTGCATTCTGCAGAAAGTACTTTTTGTGTTGTGCAGAACTTGTTTTGCCGCGGACTTATCTCCTTGGACCCCTTCGGTCCCACGGCCATGTATGGGAAGTCGTGTGGCTCTGATTTCAATGACTATTTATGATCACACGATTGTAATTAAGTGAAAGGTGACCATGTCATATTAGTCCCAAACCCCACGTGGTGGATGACTAAAACTATGAATCCTTCAACGATTTGTATTAACAGTAAATCTTTTAAGATTTAATCTTGTATCAGCAAAATTTTTCCTTAATCTCAAATTAGTAAACGACATGTTCCCGTGAATTTTAATTTAGGAGTTATTGACACTCAAGTATGACTAGTGGCTCAGTTTATCATTTCGTTAGACTGTCAATAACACTGGACTATTATTTGAGACTTTGATTGTGTTATTATTCACAGGAAGAGCATGACCAAATCAGAGCAAGGAGTGATCCAGGGGCACCACTGGAATGGACGGATTACAAGTCAATGGCCTTTACTCAATGTGTTAGTATACAGTATACATATGTATCTCAATACTCAATGTTTAATTAAATTAACAGTGAGGATATAGAGTAAAAACTACTATTAGTTTTGTCGGTGTTTTTAATCATGTCCTTTCCTTGTTTTTTAATCATTTGTGCAATACAGGTTGTGAACGAGACCTTGAGGGTGGCTAACATAATTGGTGGAATATTTAGGAGAGCAACGACAGACATCGACATAAAAGGTAACCCACACCAAAAAGGTTGTGAAATTTAGCAAATAAGAAAATGCACATTGCAACTTGCAAACAACATTTTTTTAATGCTTCACTTGTAATAGGTTACACTATTCCTAAGGGATGGAAGGTCTTTGCATCATTTCGTGCTGTCCATCTGAATCCTGAACATTACAAAGATGCACGCACTTTCAATCCCTGGAGATGGCAGGTACTTCAGTCTTTGCTACTAATCTAATATCAGTCTCAAATAAATTTGCATTCTTCTGTTACTTACTAGTGATACAAAATTATCAGAGTAATTCATCAGAAGCAGCAAACCCTGGGAATGTTTATACACCTTTTGGAGGAGGGCCACGGTTGTGCCCTGGCTATGAGCTAGCCAGAGTTGTACTTTCTGTCTTCCTTCATCGCTTTGTCACCCGCTTCAGGTACAAACATTTTGAATAATTATGCATGTTAAGAGCTTAATTTTAATCTATCACTAATATTGTACTTCCAATTCATGACAGTTGGGTTCCTGCTGAGGAAGATAAGTTGGTGTTTTTTCCAACAACTAGGACGCAGAAGAGGTATCCCATTGTTGTCAGCCGTAGAGACTAGAGGAGTGCAGAGCATGTATAGCAACATGAAAATTAAGAGCATAACGGATTCAGAAGGCACAAAGGAAGCTGAGTGTAGATCAATTTAATAAGTTCATGTTCATCATATATGAATAAATAGTTAAATTACATCTCCCAGTTTAGCAATTCATATATGATGTTAATTAGGTTTTTCTTTCCGCAAAGTTCAACAACCAGAAAAGTTGGCAAGAGTTTTCTCTCAATTCAACTTGATTTAAAGGCAGTTGTTGGATAAAATAAAGATACATTGGAATCACCTTAATTAAATTATAACCTGCAGTGGTTCGTTGATACCAAAGGCATCAAATTAAAAAAAAATAAAAATTATGAAGGCATGTAAGAGAACTAGAAAAACATGGAACTATATTTGACTTTATTTTGTGATTTTTTTTTCCATTTAAGAAAAATAATAAATGTAATTTTTTAACAATTTTATTGAAATAGTTCTGTTCTTTAGATTAATTTTAAAAAAATTAGGATAATTAGTTCGAGAATAAATGAAAATTAAAAAAATATATTTGTTGAAAGTTATATAAACTTAAAAAAAAAAAAATTAAACTGCATATAGAATTACAAACAGATATAATTATTGAAAGTCCTTCCATGCACAATGATACAATCATCCAACATTGTTCGAGCATTCTCGTAGCTGACCCAACAACAAAAGACCGTATCATGCTGATTTATTGCCATGCACAAAACAAACTACATGGTTTGCTTGCACATCTTTAAAGACTAACCAATTGAAGTAAGGGGTATCTTTAGATAAATTTATCCTTCTCACAGAAAGGAAAAAATAAAATATATTTTAAAAAATTAAAGTTATTTTATACGTAAATTAATAAAATAAAATTTGAAGAATTAAGATAATATAATTTTAACAATTAATTCATATACAAACTAATTTTATTTTAAAAATATTTCTTTTGATTTTAACTCTAGACCTACTAGTCCTAAACCCTAACCCGTGAAGTATAATTTACTGTAACTCAAACAACTACCTGACTAAATCGAAGTAATAAACCTTTAACGGCTTCACTGCACATATTGAAAACGACTCTGCCTTATTTATTAAAAAGGAGTGTATTAGTGCTATCTATTGTCAGTGTTTTTACTCTTCGACTTTGTTTCATCATATTTTTTTCAAGAAATTATTTTGGAAAAGTTGATGGGACTTCTTTTTCAAAAAAATAAAAAAAGGGAAATGTAGTTATTAATTTAATTTATAAATTAGATGTTTCAGTTGGAGCAGGTATAAATAGAACTGCTAGATCCATCAGCAATTTCAGTTACGGGTAGGATTGTGTAACAGAATACAACTAAAAGACAGTATAAAATAGAACTAAACCAAAGTAACAAAATCTGAACCAAACTGCTCCAATTCAGATTTTAAAATTGAATTATCTCTAAATTAAACTGCTTAAACTTAATTGTAATTTATGTGATTGAAAAATATAAAAAAAAAAATGTTTTGAATAAGATGTATGTTGAAAATAGTTCAAATTGAATAATAAATCAATTCGTTCAAAATATTATATAATTCAGTTTAATTCACCTAAACAATTGCCATATTTAGTTGTCAAACTGCTTCTACACTTTTGTTCATCCATTGGTCAATGACAATGATTTTGATTATGCATGATATTTAAACTCGTTTTTCTCTCTCTTTTTGCTTTTACACTTCACTAGGTATGTCATGGAGCCGTTTTCAGCTCCTACACTAAACAAATTCAAGTACATGGTTTTTTTGGATAACGTTAGCTTCCTTCCATTAAGGAAATTGAAAAGCCTATCTCTTGCATGATTCTAAACAGAATGCAAACACCAAGGTTTCCTGGCACTTCTTCTCTGACACTGACATATTGAAAAGGGAGTGGAGGTGAAAGCAGGGGATGATAATTCAAACCTCACCAGTCCGGTTAGGAAAAAAAATACCATAGGACGGTTTTAGAGCAAAGGAGGCCTTGATTCTCTACTGCTGCTTCTTTCGTTGTTTCTCAATGTAGACTCCACGAGTTTCACTTTCTTCGAATTTTCAGTATTTACAAGTGAAAGTTTTTCAAGCGATGATTTGAGCATGGATATCCGATTGTCACCAGCATGAATTTTCTTCCCTGGTGTTTTATGTTGTTGATTAGCTTTCGATGCTTGCAAGTGCCTTCTCAACCTTGCACTTAGCGCATCAACAGAAGAATGCAACGCATCCAATTCAACTTCCTTAAAGCGGTCTGCAAAAAAGGGGGTGATTGCGTGCTTTTGAAAAAATTCTTAGGAGATAGAAATGACCATAGATGATGCAGAATGGAGAATGAAGTATCAAGCACAGGAAAAAAAGACAGATAGAGAGGAAGTATGTAACAACCATAAGGCTAAGAGGGGAACCATCCCTCAAAAGCTAGCTCAAGAGGTTGGAGAACCTCCTACCTTATAAGGCCTCCCTGGTAAGGAGACCTCCCCAATGTGGGACTTGTTACAATACCACCCCGTTCGAAAGTCAGCGTCCTCGATGGCTGCACTCCACGACACTTCACTCACCGGCACTTCACTCACCAGCACTTTACTCGGCTTTCTTACCGGTCAGAACCCTCCAGTGGTCAGAACCCTCCGTGGGTAGCCCTTCTCGAGTTGGCTGGCTCTCAATGAAAGCACCATTGTAACAACCATAAGGCTAAGAGGGGAACCATCCCTCAAAAGCTAGCTCAAGAGGTTGGAGAACCTCCTACCTTATAAGGCCTCCCTGGTAAGGAGACCTCCCCAATGTGGGACTTGTTACAATACCACCCCGTTCGAAAGCCAGCGTCCTCGATGGCTGCACTCCACGACACTTCACTCACCAGGCACTTCACTCACCAACGACTTTACTCGGCTTTCTTACCGGTCCGAACCCTCCAGATGGTCGAACCCTCCGTGGGTAGCCCTTCTCGAGTTGGTCGGCTCTCAATGAAAGCACCATTGTAACAACCATAAGGCTAAGAGGGGAACCATCCCTCAAAAGCTAGCTCAAGAGGTTGGAGAACCTCCTACCTTATAAGGCCTCCCTGGTAAGGAGACCTCCCCAATGTGGGACTTGTTACAATACCACCCCGTTCGAAAGCCAGCGTCCTCGATGGCTGCACTCCACGACACTTCACTCACCGGCACTTCACTCACTAGCACTTTACTCGGCTTTCTTACCGGTCGGAACCCTCCAATGGTCGAAACCCTCCGGCGGTCGAACCCTCCGTGGGTAGCCCTTCTCGAGTTGGTTGGCTCTCAACGAAAGCACCAATGTAACAACCATAAGGCTAAGAGGGGAACCATCCCTCAAAAGCTAGCTCAAGAGGTTGGAGAACCTCATACCTTAAAAGGCCTCCCTGGTAAGGAGACCTCCCCAATGTGGGACTTGTTACAAAGTATGTCTACATTCAGGAAGAACGCATCTGAAAGCATACTATTCCAAACCATTGAAGTTTTGTACACATAAGCTTCTCTGTAAAAACTTGTAAAAAATGAAAATAAGAAAGTGAAATGAATTGAACTTCTATAAACTAAAATCAACTTCCGCAATTAACTATTATCAAAACTCCCATCTAACATTTTAAGAAATTTATTTTAATATGAGAAAAACATAATTCATTTTATCTTTTTTTTCTCGTATAAGTATTTATGAAAATGTTAAACCGATCAGGACTTAAATATGATTTTTTTTTTCAATTCTATCCTTTTACTATTATAAATTATTTTCTTCGAATGAATATTTGCCTATGAAATTACAAGTCCTCTTTTTCTTTTCTTCTTTTTTTTCTTTTTTGATTTTTTTTTAGAATTACTTTTCTTTTAACATTCAGATCCTTTATATATATATATATATATATATATATATATATATATATATATATATATATATATATATATATATATATATATATATATCAATCTTTGAGAAAAGGTACTCAATTTATAACAGACAAAAATACTTAAGGGATCGAACATCAATTACCAAGCTCAGATTTAAACTGCCGCTCTGCTCTGGACAGTGGTTTTTTGTGAGCACAAGGTAAGTTCCTTAATTGTTGCAAGCGCTCTTCCAAAGAATTGTGCATTTGAATAGCATGATCTAACCTTTTCTGTAATATAGCCTCTTTCTCCTCAACTTTCAAAATTTTCTGTTGTGCATCACCTAAACGAGAATGTTGGTCATTAATGATTTTCTTCAACTGAGGTGCGTGATGCTTGAGCTCCAGGTACACCTATTATGACAAAATGCGATGAAAAAGAGCCAACAGTTATTATAAAAAAGAATAGCTGTATGCATTTATGTTTGTATACTCCCATTAAGAGTACGTAGCATATAGAATATAGAACTAATGAATCAAATTTTAATGATCTACTTCAATTCATACAGTACCATACAATGTCTAATATATTCTAAAGCGATCTTCTCGAGCAAATATTTTGCACAGGTGATCATCAAAAGCTTTGAACTTCATTTGAAAAAATTTATAGTCCATTATTGAAGCGACATCCAGGCATCTGTATAAATATTAGTGACTCTTGGCCCAAGATTATTACTTCAGTTTTGGCCAAAAATTTGTTAGTTAGTGAATACAACTGAATGAGCAAATATGATAAATGCCCAAGGTCAGAATAAGGACTCAGAAAAATGAAAATCAAGAATAAAAGTCTGGGACACTATGAAAGTCCTACCTTGTGTCCATACTCCACATAAGTTTCATGAAACAGCTTGAAATACTGATGTAGTGTTGATCGACCTTCAATTGAATCAGCTGCAACAGAACGCAAACTTGGAGAGGCATGGGGAACAAGTACCTCCTTTGGTCCACCAAGTAGTTCTTTGCTAATTATTGAAGGTATATCTCTCTCTTTTAATTCCCCCTCTGATGAAATGGGTTTCTCCATATCAATGCTTACTGGAAGCAAGAGATTCCAACTTTTCATTTCAAGCACAACACACTCGAGAGAAAGTGTAATAGCTACAATCCATGAATATCCAAATGAATCTGATAATGACACAAAGCCACAAAGTGAGGGTTCTGAGGTGTTTCCACTCTGGCAAGTATTTACTACAGAGTGTACAGACGGTGTTTTCGTTGTATCATCCTTGCCATTTGACTGACTTGTAAATGGAAGAAAATGTAAAACTATTGAGTCAACCCCTCCATCATGAAGGGAATATATCCTTTCTGGCATAAGCATATCAATGAACAATGAAATATTATAACCACTTTCTGCTCTTTGCGGCAGAGCCAGATCAACAATAGCCAGTCTCAGCAAAGGAGGTGGGTTACCCAACCAGGCATTGCGATCAGGCTTCCACAGACTGCTGCTGTTAATTGACTCACAAATCATAGCAAGGCCAAGAATATGGTCATGGGAATCAACACGAAGACGAGGTGGACTGCCAACACACCAGACAGGTTGGATCTCATCTGCTAGTGCATCTATCTGCAATTGCCCACCACTCCAGGCAGTCACCAAAATAGAGTCTTTGCTGACTAAATTGTAGAGAAAACTAACTGCACGACCTTCACATTCTGCACTACAACCAACTGAATCTTCATTTCCATCCTGACCTACTCTTCGCAGAGGTCCCTACAAATTCAGAAACATAACACACAATCACATTATGTAACACTGCAACTGATGGAACAATTTGACAGGCACTTTCCCATCTATTGATAATGTGCTGGCAAAAGTCTAGTTTAGAGTATATGTATACCTGCAAGACAAGAGATGCGTCAAATAAAGCATAAGCATGAGCTCTTAGCAAAGACAGGCTGTCTCCTTCAGTTTCTTGATTTTGTAACTCAGGAAATGCTGCTTCTAACCAGGAGATTGCCAACTTTGAATTACTCGCAGCAACAGAGTTGGCTGACATTATTCCAAATGTGTGAGCATCATTGTATATTTCTACCAAAGACTCACATTTGAAGAGACTGTGAAGAAGCAGAGAAAACAGTCACGAATTTAGAAATATGTATGAGTAGGGTACAAACATTTTACAGAAAATAACTCTATCTAGCATGAAACTATAGCCATATTATAAAATGGCTAAGACATCAAAGAGGTATAGCAATCTCCATCAAATATTAGGGTGGTTCATTGGGTAAACAGCTTAATTAAGTATATATTGAATAAGTTCTTATAACGTAAGCAGTTACGTATAAGTTGTTTATATAATCAAAGAGGAAAAAAGATTAACTTTTTTTCATACATAAGCTGAAAACAACTTATGCGTATAAGCATATCATAAGCTATTTTCATATTCTCTCTCAAATATTTATACAAGTGCTTATGTCATTATATGTGTCCAAAGATAAACCATAATCTAGGAAGTACTGGTAATATCACAGCAGTAAAAGAAGACAGATAAAAGAAGAGTAGTAAAATACCTGCCAAATGGAACAACAGGGCAAAGTACATAAATAGCCCCATTACTGAACAAAATAAAAACCTGTTGAATAGTAAAATAAATAAAATGTTTAAGACTAATAAGTAATGGCAGTAGATTTTCTAAAATGGACAAAAAATAATATTTAGAACAGTTAAATAAAAATAACTCAGAACTTACACTAAACCTGTCCCATAAGTGGTCTCCCCCAAAAGAAAAATCAACTGGGCACACTGATGAGGCATTTCTAGATCTACCAGGCTCAACAGGCTGTAAATAATATTCTTGCTCTGGTTGCAAAGGATCCATGGACAGGTTGAAAATTCTACAAAAATTATCTTGCAATTAGAGGGAAACACGACAACATAGCTAAGTTAAATAATGTCTTATCCAACCATGTAAGCACAGATATACATAAAATAAAACAAAAGGCATCAATAAGAAGCATTGGTGTTAAAACAAGTTAACAAAATTAGTACAGAGTTAAAAACTAATGGCTGGATGGAATTTTCATTTTCTTATAAATAATGGGATGGGAACCCATAACAGCCAGTCTTGTTATACTCTGGTATAAATGTAGATAACATTAGAAAGACTACACAATTTCCAGTGAAATTTTTTAACCTATTACAAAATCAAACTGATATATTTATTCTCTTGTAGAAGTGAAGTCTTTCATTATTTAAATCTCAGCGTTGCTTTTGAATGCATTTCAACAGTAATATCTTTCCAGTCTACCATAAACCAAGATGACCATTTGAATAACCAATATCAATGTTTCATAAGTCACACCATAGTAAACAATATTGACTATCCAACCCCATCATATGCATAGATTAATTTATTTATTTTTTATAAAAATAATTTACCGGAAAACTGAGTCAGACGAAAGAATTCCCAAATGTGTATCGCTGTAAGGGTGCCATAATGCTTGTAAAACCCGAATATCATTGCCACCAGTGGAATAGGTCTGAGAACCAACAGTAATAGTCCTGTATCAAGATATTAAAAAAAAAAAAAAAAAACGGTTAAAAAAACTCTATGATTGAAAGGAAAAGCTGGTTATAGTTTAGAATATTGATACATAGAGACACCTGCACGGTGTATATACCAAATTGACACTCTTCGCTTCTCTCTGTCTCCCTTTATATTATATCATATCTAGCTTTCTTTCTCTTCTATCCCTATCCCTCTCTAGGTATCTAGCTCAAGCAGAAAATACGTGCTCCTCTATCATTTTCCTATAATTTATGACCATCACCTTCTTCCTATGCAATGCACATCAAGATTAAACTTGAAAATCCTATAAACATAACTCGAACACAATTTATTTCAATAAAAAAAAAACGATAAATATCGAAGAAACTATAGAGATTATCCAGTAGCAAAGAAGAAGCATAATATATTAGTGAATTCCACTTGCAATTGTACCTGCAAATCAAGTTCTCGTCTTTCTTAGAGGTGCGTCCGTAAAGGTACATAACAGAGAGCGTTTCAGAACCGAAAAGGAGAATTGCTGTTCCGTTTCTGTTGATGGAGATTTTGTGGACGTCGAAATCGAGCACCGCGTCCGCTTGCAACACCTGTTTCAAATTCGGAAACGAATTAGCATAGCATTGGATTCTGTTTGCCCGAAAAACCAAATGCAGAGAGAGAGAGACCTTAGAGGGAGAGGAGGCAAGGACGGAAGAGGGATCGGGGTCGCCAAGTCGGAGAGAGAGGCGGTGGAGGCAACGGCTGTTTGTGTCCCAGAAGTATAGGCGCGAGGCTCCGTCCCAGGCAAGAAGGTTCCGAGAAGCAGAGGCGGCGGTGGCACCGCCGTGTGCGGTGAAGAGAGGGTGCTTGGGAAGTGGGACCCACTCGACTTCGTCTTTAGGAGTTTGGGAGCGGCTTGGGCTTGGCTCCGAGCTCGGCTCCAACGTGATTCTCATCGTTGTTGTTGCGTTGTGCTTCGTTCTTTCTTCGTTTGAGTTTCACTTTCGCAGTTCAAACAAACCCTTGCTGTTTTTCTTTCCGGCGGGGTTGTTCCTCGATTCGTTAGAACGACGTCGTACTCGCTGTTGATGTTTGAATTTTTAATTTTTTTTTTTGTAATTCCTACTCTCTTCGTGGATTTTGGACTGGAGGGGCCCAAGAGACATCACGGCCCCTTTCGTTCTTTGATAATTAATATTTTTATTTTTTTGGATTTGACTAGGGCTGTGAAAATGGACGGACTCAATTTGATTTGGTCTTTCTGATAAAGTAAATGAAATTTAATAGTTTAACCTGATTTATATTTTTAAAATTGGCCAAAATAAATTTTTTAATCTGATTTTATTAGAATAACAAATTAAGGTTCATTTTTTTATAAAAAGATTAACAAATATTTTATTTATATAATTTTCTAATTTTATTTAAAAAATAATATATCATTTTTTATTTATTTAAAATTAATTAATAACTTATTTATATAAAATAAAATCATAAAATTTTATTGTATAAAATTTTATCTTTCAAACATTTATCATATAATAAAAAATAAATAAATAATATTAAATGATTAAAATTTACATGATATAAATATTATAAAATATTGAATATTAATTTAAGTATATCATAAGTTCAAATTTAATTATAATCATATAACCAATCATGAGTACAAATAAAAATAAGAGTTTACACATTTTTTTAGTAAATAATTTTTATATTTATTTAAGATACTACCATAAATATTAAAAAAATTAAAATCATTGTTGTAATTTGAATGATTAAAAATGTAACGTAATCAATAAAATAAATAAAATATTTAAAATGTCATCCAATCAATAAAATATTTAAAATATCACAAAATCAACTAAATGAATTATTATAGTGAGATAATTAGTCATGTATATATTTGATATTAATATAATATATAAAATTTTATTGATGATAATATATTGTTAGAATGAATTTTTATATCTGATATACTATTTATTTTAAATTTTCAATCCATCTCAGATACGAAACTCATGAGCTCACGGAACAAATTCAATTTTAAAATTATATATAAATTTGTCAAGACTTCTTTCCCTTAGCGAATAATATATTATTAAAATTCTTCCTTATATTTATTATATATGAAAAGAATATTATTGTGTGAAGAGAATATTTTATTGAAACTTTATTTCTCTTGCCTTTCTCTCGTAAAAACAAAAAAGATTGAAAAGTTTAAGCCGAGAGGTATAAATTTGAACTCAAGTGAAACAATTTTTATTAATGAAATATCTGCTAAATGAGCTGAAAAGCTATATTTTGATATTCCCTTAATTAACAATTTTGAGATGACAACAAAGAGTAAAGTTGGTATCCTTTATATTAGAGATAAGTAAATAAATGGACAATGCATTATTTTATTTTTCACCCAAGCTTGTTGTATAAACTTTTTGATATTTTTTTTTAATGATGCATTGGATTGGACCTACTACTAAAAATAGAACACGATAGAGGGTTGTTGAAGTTACCAAATTTATTCCTGGGTAAAACGTGTCCCCGATACAATGAATCTTGTGCTATACCCTAATATTTTGGTTTCTCTTTAAATCAAATCCATTCATTACTCAACCAATTCTAGTCTTAATCCAAGTAAGGAGGCAACTAAACTCCAAAGCATGACTAATCCAATAATTAGTTTTTGACTAAGAGATGGCTATGACAAAATTAATTTAGTCTTTTTATCTCTACAATAATTCGCGTATGATAACTTTTTCTCTCTTAATCTACATCTTTGCTATCTTAAAAAAATGTAAATAACAGTTTTTATTTTATTATTGATTGTCAAATACAAGTTAGTGGACTAATGATTGTCAATATTTTTTTCTGATATAACAAAAAGATAAATATTACCAATTTTAGTACATCTTTAGTATATATAAATATTTTTTATATACTGAAAAAGAGAAAAAAAAATTATAAGAAATATAACGTGATAAGAAATAAACATAAAAAATGTCTAATAAATATTTATTAATATTATAAATTTTAATTTTGTTAAAAATATAATTGAAGTTCCTGCAAAAATTGTATATTGTTTTTTAGCCAGCTCGACATTTATATTTTTCTATTTGAAAAAGTTGATGTTTTTGTATTTACTTTATCATTTTTTCAAACTTTAATTTGAAAATGTGGAATGCGTGCAAGAAAGCGTCAATTAAAAACCAAGATACAAATCTCTGGAGCACTAAATTAAAACACCGAGTTAATGCAACAATTAATTAATCAAGGGCACATCGTAATAAGAATCCAGTATTAATTATGTCATTCACTTGTTTATATATACAAGATATACACGATACAATTGCAAAGGAAAAATAAGAATATAAATAACAAAACAACATAGTTATGCATATAAATCGCCAAAGATGAAGCTCTACTACGTACATACATTAATTATAATTAAACCTAAACACCATTCAACAACTTTATGTATCCTGGTAGCAGTAATCTGACAGTATCCGAGGTTAGAAAGTTAGGTGTGAAGGTTGCGGGCATCCTTTGGACAAACCTGAAATAACAAAAATTGTTAATTTCACTGTTTAATTTCACCACAATAAAGTTAAGAATTTGGTGATTAAAGATAATTACCGTGGCAACCCTTGACGCACGCAAAACATATATAATATGAATAGCTGAAGTTGTTAGTTGAAAATCCATATATGATATTTGGTTTAATCTTTTCATTTGATTCGTTCTTCCTGAAGAATCTTGGGATACCTGGGATACCCATTTTTGCAAGCTGAAATCTGCGAAGACATCAAAAGTGGAACATGGTTAATGTCTTGATCCCTTTTTATCTGTTTTCTCGGATAATCATGTAAAAATATGAAAAATATGAGAGTGCTACAATTAATATTATGATGACGTGTGAGGTAGGCATGTGGGAATAACTTGTTTATGTCGTGTCGTGTGACTAGGTGAGAGAAGCCTATCTACCAATACGTGTTGTTAGTGGGGATCCCTCAACTTGCAGGGTGCCAATAGGGATGGCAATATTGAAGGCCATGATCTTAGATAAGAAAAAAGAAAACTATGTCTATGCATACGCACATGATCAAATACATATCTAGATATTTATATATAATATTATCGACTTTAGGAATCGATTAAGGGCGGCTATTTCCCATATTATAAAGATATTCTATGATACAAGGCTTAAGGAGACTTCAAAAAAGGATTTATATCTGTGAGACCAAGTCTAATTTCGATCGAAGTTAGGAAAGAACAAGTTTTTTTTTTTAATAAAAAAATTTAAGGATTCAACCATTTCGAAGAATAATCTGCCTTGGACGATTTCACGAGGGGTCCAACATCCCCCATATGACCGCACTTTCCGCTCAATTTCCAACCAGCTCAATTTGGCTGTTTAGAAAAGTCAACAAACTATGTCGCCAAAGCTGAAAATTAAATACTAACATGCAAGACTAATTTCAGTTTTTCATTCATGCATTCAAGAGGATTTGTCCCCAAACCAAACTATTGACCTTCCAGAGAGGTAGGTAAAATCAAAAGCAACCCTACTATAGTTTTTTGTGTAAGAAAAGGGTAGTAGAACAAAAGGTACCCGAAACTATCAACTAATACACTAATAACGTACTATAATTGTTGGTAGAGAATTACTGGAGAGTATATGCCTCTAACAAAGTTTTCTACTGCACCAAGGTTAATACATACCCCTTAATGAAATTTCCTTGATCATATAAAACAGTACTTGGTGGGTCCTTCCTATTCTACTACACAAAAATTCCCATTAGTTCCCCTCCGTGTAAACCCCGCGTCACCCAAAACAATTAAAAAAAGTGGAAACTAACTTGAATTTTCAGTAGAAAAAAAATACCAATTTCCAGAAGTACACTGTTTTGCAAAACTATCTTATTCCACTAACGCACGTCATAATTTTAATTTTAAAGTTTATTCTGGCTTTGGTGGAAAGGAAAGTGGCGTGTGTAAGGGGAGAGGAGACACTTACAGCTTCGATGTCAATTTTGTAGACCAAAAGCTTTCTTCTTTCCCTGCAACTTGTTCTGTAGGCCACGACAACATGCCCCACGGCCAACGCACAAGAGCATACGAATAGAGCTATTTCGGTACCTCCAACGTATCCACTTCGTTCAATCCCCCAAACACTGAAGATGTAAACTGCCTTCAACGACACAAACATCAGAGACAAAACAGAACACATGGTCGTAATCCCCAAATAAGGTCCATGCGAAAGCCTTGGTCCGTCGCACAAACTATAAACACCTACAACAAAAAAGCTAACAACCCATTAACACAACCTTCAAAAGGGTCCTCGAAGATCACTACAAATTTTCACCTTGATTAAAAGCAAAATCGGTCGCTAAACGAAAAATTGATTGCAATCACTTTTTTTTTTTTTTTTAAATTACAATAATATATTTGTCGGCTAATTATATTTTTTCTAGTGTGAACATGAGAGGGGAGTGTGTACTTACAGAAGATGATGAAGGATCGTATTATGGAGATGAGGGGAATATCAATGAGAGAGTATCGAAAATCGTAGTTGTGGAAATGGGAAGCAAGATTTTCCAAGGAGAAAGAAGAAGGGGAAATCGTGGAGAGAAGAGCAGAAGGAACAAGTGCATCGGCAATAACAAGGAGAACCGGGGCAGAGAAAAGAAGAAGCGATATAACCATAGCGATCAAGAAGAACACAGTCTTCAAGCCCCTCAATATTCTCTTGGATTTCTCATCTTTTGAGGAAAAACCCATGCTGGATTCTATGAATTGGTAGTGTTTCCCACTAATCCTTGCTGAGCTTATAATATGTGGTTTTATTGCAGAAAGGAAAAGACTGTGTGATGTGTTGTGGTGCGTTGTTGTGTTGTGATGACAAGGGGAACGAGGGAGGAGGGTTTAATTAAGAGGGTGAAGAATTAGAGAGAAGAGGAAGATGAAGATGAAGGAAGGTGCAGGCCAAGGTGCAACAAATTTGACCGGACTTGTCCACTCTTTGAGTGATGACAAATGGTTGGGACTTTACACGAACGTATAGAGAGGGTCCCTTATACTCTTTCTATCTCTACACCAACGGCAATACCTAAAAGCTTAAACCACAATTAACTATCTGTCTTTCTTTTCATGTTTTTTTATTTGGTGAGGGTTATTCCCTGTGCATGCAGCAGCTACCAGACTCACTTCTACATCTTTGACACGTGTCCCGTGATTGTTGCTAATGATGCTTCTTGATGAGTGGATGTACCACGTCATCCCATATGTAATATGAATTGTGTTGCGCTGAGAATTGGGTATGAACCATGAATCTTTATCATGTGAATTTTTTAAAGATTTTTGTGTTATTGACATATTAAAAATTCGCATCAAAAGCCTGCCCTAATCAGAGAGTAAGATAGAAAAGGAAAATAATAATAGAAAGAAAATTGTATGACAGAAAAGGTAGATGTATCTTCAGAATAATTTCTAGTCAAGTTTTACATAAAAATATTCTCGTAGATGAGGCAGTAAGTTTTTCGAATTAAAATGTTCATTTTTACTGGAAACATATATATATTTTTTATTGAAAAATTTAAAATAGTATAACAAATCAATTTTTTTATATAAAAATAACATATTACCTTCTCCTTCCAAAATCTTATATAAATATATTTCATAATAATTTTTACCAATCAAACAAAACTTAGTCATTTTTTCTTATAAAAACATTTTCTTCTGTATGACGCACTCAAGAGTAATATAACAGTGATAATTGCACCACAGGTCCAAAATTATGTCAAAATAATCATTTAGCCAGTGTTATTATGTGATCAACAACGTAATTTTGCGCCATTTTATTCCTAGTTTTGGTAGATATTTTATTTCTACTTTGTTAGAATCTGGAGTAAAATAAAGAAAAAATAAGAAGAAATACAAAAGATAGAAATAGAATAGAAATATACCTAGCTAGTTTCGAAGGATAGAAATAGAAAGAATTTCTCTCGACTTGTTCAATAAATAGAAATTAAGAAAAGAATTATATAAAAATGATATTTTTTAATATTTGCTTATATTGTAAAATTACTGATTAATTTATAATTAAGCAGACATTATAAAAAATAATTTTCCTCTTGTAGAAAGAATAAATAAACATTGAATATTTGAATCCTATCTTCTTTCTTTCTATTTGACTATTTTGTCATACTGTATTTAAACCCAAACAAACGAAAGGTTGAAGATGGGAAGACATGGCATTTGTTTTCGGTTTGGGGTGAGAAAGGGTGTGATTACAATGAATTTCTGGTAATCAAGCGGGTATGGTGGAGCCGAAAGATTGTAGGCATGTGATCACATGCTGTATTTTGTCTTTTCGAGTCATACACACATTGTTTATTTTAAAAAACTTGCATACAATGAATTTTGGTTGTTGTGTAGATAAACGTATACAAAGCAGAAAAACTAAACAATTACTAACTCTAAGAAGATGATGGTGATGTGATTGTTCATGCAGCCTCGTTGCGGTTATTCCAGCTATCTTAGCATGTTTTCTCATCCTTCTTAGTTGGCATTGGATTCTCTTAATACACTTTTTTAAATGTTTTCCTTTTGTTACAGTTATAGATTTTGAATCTATGATGCCAACAACAGACAAATCCAACACCATCACAGTGACACAGAAAATAGAGGTTTATTACTGTGTATCTACTTACATTTTAGAAAAATCATGATGCTATATTAAATATAATTCTGATCTTTTTATAATGCATCTCAACTCTATTATATTCAAACATTCCTTCTAAACAAATCAGTAAATCTTATATAGACACACTTTTTTTTTGTATTATTAAGTTTTATTGAATATATAATACACCATGTTTGTTTCAAAAAATATATATTTTTCTTTGACATTATACATTATGAATTGCATTTTAGTATAAAAGGCTTGTAACTCAATATAATTAATGATTAATTTAAAACTTTTATTATTAATAATAAGGAAATTTATTTAATTTATTATGTTAAAGTGAAATAAAATGCATCGTACTATTTCAAGAATCAGTCCTGATTCTTGCTGAAGACATTCTGATTCATAAATAAAAAGTAAATCATAATTTATTTCTTAAATAAAATAAACTATTGTTTTTGCATTGAAGAAAGAGTTGTCCATGTTTTCTTTTTGTTTCTTGGCAACATATGTGTCACGAGTTTTTATATAAAATAATTTAATATTATCTTTTTGACAATTAACCTAATTTATATTTTTTTAAAATTTGCATTTTGTTTATATTTTATGAAATAAAAAATCTTAAATATTTTAAGATCTATATTTTTATATTTTAAATAAATTTGTAAACACGTGGGGGATAGAATGCTTGTTATTACAAACTATTTTTTAAATTTGAATAAAAAATCAGTATAAATAATATTTAAAAATACGTGTTTCTCAAAAGTTTGAACACGTAAATGAACAAGAGCCACCATTTAATGTCCACTGTACCAAAATGAAAAGAGTTAGGTTTGAAAGAATTAAGGACGCTCAGTCATGAATGATAGAGCCTAACACATTATTTGAATTAATCGTGACCACTAATTTTAATTATGTTTAACATGAAGCAAAAAAATTATTAGTATACATTCACAATCAATTCTATTTATTAGTAGGTTCTGTATTTGTTTAAAAAAAGCGTTTGATTGTTGGCTGCTATGTTACATATATAATAATAATAATAATAATAATAATAATAATAATAATAATAATAATAATAATAATAATAATAATAATAATTTATATTATTATAGGAAGACAATTATTTATTTAATAAATATTTTTTTTATTTAAATATTTTATATTATTTTTTATCTGTAAAAATAATTTAATTATTGAATAAAATGTTTGATTTTAAACTGGTGAGTAAATCAACGTAGTCTGCTAACCGTAGAGATGAGTAAAGTCAAGCGCGCCAAATATGAAATATGGCGAACTCTAGCCGTCACACGCCATCTACTACCACCCTACCACGGTGTTTATACATATGCTTCTAGATTCATTCATTGTTCATTATTAATATAAGTCATTTATGAGTTTTTTCTAAATGTTAGACTAATGTGAAATTTTTCAAAATATAATATGTTATCAAAATATTAAACTGCCCATATTGTTTATTTATTTTAAATAACTTTAAATTATTTTCAAAAACAAAACTATACGCAGTGATGACGGATGTTAACCATTGATCTTGGAAGACCAAATAATATATTATTAATAAATATAAAAGAAAGAAATAAGATAAAAGAATAAAATTGTAAATATATACTTAAATATATTAAATTATCATTAAGTTAGAGAGAGACAAAATCATAAATTATATAAGAGTTATAAAACTGAAGAGGGACTTAGAGGATAAAATTGTAAATATACAAGTAAATATATTAAATATTAATTAAGTTTGGGAGTCAAAATCATAAATTACATAAGAGTTACTAAACTTTGGGGTCACGACCCCTTCAACTCCCAAAAAGATTCGTCACTCTATACGTGATAATTATAATTAAACAAAGACAATCTTTACTCAAAAAAAGATTGAAAAAAATAAATCTTGCACAATCCTAATTTTTTAAAATGATATTTTTATATTTTTTAAATTTATTAAATTTCATACTTCATATTAGTTTATTAACTTAAAAAAAAAACATTATTCTAGAGAGCAAATTATTTTTTAATATCAAAACTTTCAAAGTCTTAATTAAGCACACGTGGCCTTAATTCATTAAAAGCTTTGAATTTGATATAACATTCATTAGGTTTTGAATTGAAAGGTTGGAATGAAAGATGATACACGCGCAAGCGTCATCACGAATAAAATACTTTTTGAGGTCATTGAGTTTCTGCTTTAAACATTATAGTTTTTGGACTATTTATACTATACAATGTTTGTATAAGAAATTATACAACAGAGAGAAGAAATAAATTATTTATGTTATATTGTCAATATCATGTCTTACGACATAAATATTCAACTAGAAGGTTGGTTTTAATATCCTTTGACTTTCACTAAAACTGAGAAAACACATCAGTTTAAATTCAAACTGTCGACAACATATTAACTGTGATAATGTCAAATGTAAGAATTTCTAGAACCAATTTTTGGATGCAAAAGTTTTTCAGCATCAAAAATTGGAAAAGTCTTAATTTGTGTGGAAAGTTTTTGAAGAACCGTGATGTGCGTGTGAATGTGGTATCGTTGAAATCCAATACGTGTAACTTTCTACTTTTCAGAACATTTTCTTAACGAGATTTTATTTTTGGTTTATTACATCATCATCTTATCAAGAACATCGAATAATAACGGGACAACACAATGAAAAAAAAAACCTTTGAAATACCTTTTTAGCTTGCTCAAACCTAACCTTTTTTTTTTTTATAAAAAGTTATCAATAGAAATTATTGTTAATCCTTATCCAAATGTGTGTGTTACCAACTTACTTTGGTATTTTCTTGTTTCTTACAACTTCGATGACCAAACGCAGATAGTATATTGTGAATCTTTTACTAACTTTGTTAACAAGGGTTGAGAACTCCTTGATCTATCTTTATGTGGAAAAACACAAATGACAAAACACAAAACTTTAGTTGGAAAGAAAAGGGAAAGCATGAGTCTTTGACGTATGTTAAAGAATGGGGATTGGATTGAATTGAAACATTAGCTTAAAGAGAGGATAAAATTCATTCCGTTCTTTATAGCATATTTGCATTCCATGATAAAGATTAATCACTTTCG